CTCAGGAGGGATGTGACTGTGTCTGGACCATATGTTTATTTCCTTTAGCCTTACTAAAAGACTACAATGCAATTGAATTGAGGTCAGAGGCAGATTTCCTTTGGGTCAGAGCCTTGTTTCACTTCTGTGAAGCTTAAGAGACAGTTAATTTAAATCAAGATCATATTGGGTAAAATAACCCTGATACTGTTCAAAGTTGGACTAAAATTTGAACTCAACATAGATATCTCTTAATTCTAGTGAGATCATGTTAGTTTATTTTGGCTTTTGTGAAGATGCCATTACTGTGAAGTAGTTTTCACAATTGCTTAAGCTGGTAAATAATTGCAGTAAAGTATCTTGTTGCATTATCCTCATCAGCAATGAGACTGTTGAATCACCCAGGCTCAAAGTCTCATTAAATATAGTTTCATTAAAAATAGAGAATTCAGATAGAATATATAATATTGAATTTAAATAAAATTTGGGGTTCTAAATTTTAACTTTATAAAATTATTTATTCTATTTTAAGCCTTCTGTCTTATTTTACCATTGAAGTATTTTTGGTTTCACTGGTCCAGCTTTATTTACGGGCATATAAAATGAAATTGTAGGATGTTTTTACAAGCTTCTTCTTTTACATTGAGTTTGAGTAGCTTTTATTTGTATGTTTTTGTTTTGTATGAATAAAGAGCATTGCTTATGCTTTTGTGCAATAGGTTTGAAACATGCATTTATTAGGCATATGTTTAAATTGTAAATGTAGCATCTACTTACTGTTAAATTTAAGAAGAATGTAGATGGCTTTTCTCACTTGTTCAAATGGGGGTTTGTTTGGGGCTATTATTTGGGGGATTGTTCTTTGATTTGTTCCTTTTTTTTATTTTAAGAGTGAAGTGTGGGATTTAAATTTGTGTAAGTACAAGAACTATCTGTCAGCAATATTTTAAAATAAATGATCTTGCAAGAAACCTTAATGTGAATTGTGGAAGCAATGGGCAAGACTTGCAGCCTATCTGAAAACACTTTGTGCCATTGTTATGTCTGGTATATTTGTGTACCATCAAACCTGGGAATATTTATTTTTATTGGTTGTGCAATAGTATACACAACACTATCATGTCTGGGGATATGGGACCATAAAAAATATCATGACTATGATGGTGCTATTTTTTTCCAATAGGCTATAAGCCTTTGAAAGCTTATCTGGCTCTTATTATCTTTATAACAACATAGTTAGTCCTAGGAGATTCATTGAGGTTTTTTTTTACTGGATGATAAATATAACTGTACAACTAGCCTATTTTACAGCATTATGCATCTTACCATTGAGCTGAATAGGAAAAAGCCAACCAGTCTGTACATCAGCAAGATGAATCTTAATAAGTACTTTTAAAGCATTTTGTACAGAAGGCTCGACTGTACAGGAAAATAAAGTTTCTGTATTTCCTCAGGTAATCAATTCAGTTTGGATGTTCCACTGGAAATGTTAATGCAACCTGCACTTCAGTTAGTTTGCATAAAGTTGGTAACAGGGCAAAAAATTGTCCCACACACTAGAATCTCTATGTAAGATATAATTAACTAAGGTCATGAGATCTGTTGTTGAAGTAAAAAGTTGCAGAGAGAACAACATTAAGGAACATGGAACAATACTTCAATATCCGCTTTAATCAAAACTTGCAATCAGTACAAACACTTTCTAGGAACTTGCATCTTGTGGCAAATCAACAGTAATGTTCTACTCTGGAGTCATGGTTTATTTTACATACAAATTAAAGCTCTGGTCTTGCTATTCGATCCATGTTTGATCATCCTTAGGACCTCTTGGAAATCTGTCGAAGCCACAATGACTTGTCCAGATCCTGGTGGTAGGATAGGAACTAAATGTCCAATTCTATAAACACTATAAACACAACCTGAACTTTACTAATAACCTGGATGGTTCCACAGAAACCAGTGGGATCATTCATGCGAAGAGTTAGGTGTGGCTAAAGGAAGGAGCCCTGATTTTTGAATGCTGATGTTCCAGTATTTTTTTTTTTATTTTTATTTGAAAGTCAAAGCATTAGTTTAATGGAATCTTGAATTCAAGTGACTTATCTGAACAAAAGGAGAGTTTGTTCTTTTCTTCTGCAACAACATTATTTTACCATTAAGGGACAATAAGCCAGTGCAACCACTAAGCCTTTATCCTCATATGTGGCATAATAAAGATTCTGGAACTGTCACAGTGTAAAATCATATTTTTGGCTTAGCTTCAGTTGAAAGTTTACAATTTTTTATGCTTTGTGTTGCTGTGTAATTTTTGTACTATTGGTGGATAGTTTTGTCTGAATAAGCCTTTGGGGATTATTGCTTAATGTTTTGATTTTATGATAGT